GCTATCACCCAGCAAAGTATGGGACAAAAGGCCCTTTTTGAGTGCAGAGTGTTCCAACCCAAAGCAGACGGATGGGAGCAGCCCATAAGCAACTTGACCTCTGCTTTTGCACAGGCACCACGAGACCCCGCGCTGCTCTTGGGTTTCTGAGGTGCTCTTGGTTGAGCAGGTCTATACAGTTCTTTCCTCAGACCAACTGGAAAATGACTGCAACACTTTTGTAAAATCAAGAAATAAATCTAATCTTCTGGAGCTGCTGAGTCCTACAGCTCCAAAAGCAACATAAATTTGTCAATGGTCTCCATCACCCTCAAAGTGTAAAGAAACAGGATAAACATAGGGGAAAGTGAGAGATGTACTGCAAGGTTGCTATCTTGGGTTATGAATTTACCTTTCAATTGAAGCAAGGTCTTAGAGCTTGGGGAAAACCTGCACTTAGTTCTGGATCCTGTGTCTTTGCTGTCCTTTTTATTTACAGAATAAGCTGCAGAAAGCAGTTGTTATTTTAGACATGAACATTTTTTTCTGAGTGCTACTGCCTACCAGAGATTTTTGGTATTTTTTAAAAAATGTTGGCTAATTTTGTGATTTGAGTAGGAAGCTTCAACTTCACACCAGTTCTACACATGCTCTTCTGCTATCCAGCAGTTTGGGAAAGATAAACTTGTAACCAAGACATTCCTCCACTGATCTCTATGGCTTTTATCGGGATTTTATTATTGCTCACTTTACTGTGGAATTGAGAAGATGGGGAGTGGGGAGCATCTGAAGTAGTTTGAAATTATTTAATCTTTAAAATATCACTGGGATGCAGGCAAGTGTTCCTCTGTATCCACCCAGCCTGAGTTTTTGCTTTGGCTTTCTACCCGGTGAATAAAGCAGGGAAGGCAGAGCCAGGTGAGAGGCCCACAGTGATCTCTGTGGGAAGCCTGCCTCTCCCCCAGACTGCATTAACCACCTCTGCTCCCGCTCCAGATGCCTTTCCAAATCCTCAGTCCCCTCCTGGAAACTCTGTGCTGTTTGTCCTGTACCACCCCAGTGCTTGCAGGAGAGGGGACTCCCACAGGCACCACCCCATCTCACCCACACTTACGGTGGAAGAGAGCATCCAGGCAGCATCGAGACAGGAAAAGTCTCTGAAAAGCAGCAGAATTAGAATTGTCTTGCACACCAAAGCAAGTCCTAAAGCAGGCAAAGCAGCAGCTGGGGAAGGGAGTGACCCGAACCCAACATCGCCCTCTGTCCATCCATTCGCCTTGGCACAAGGTGGGAAGCAGTGGGCAGCTCCAGCGCCAGCACCCTCAGCCTGCTCAATGGCTCACCCATTGGGAGCAACGAGGAGAAGCAGCACTTGGTATCATCCCAGGCATCTGCCTGCCTGCCAGGCTTGCTCTTTAAAACAGGCTGTCAAGCACAGATACCTGTTGAATCAATATGGATTTTATTCTACAGCCTATGCCCGGTAGCTGTTGATGCCAATTCTGCTGGCGTGGGGTGGGCTGTGCCACCACCCAGCAGGACAGATCAGGACTATGAGGGAGAGGATACCAGCACTGACTCCTCGGTGCCTATCTCAGGTGACTGTAACAAAGCAGCCAAGCAGAAAGACTTCAGAGACAGCGTCTCTGTGTTGCCGCTGCCAGCCTCCCCCTTCAGTGCCACACATGCATGTTTGCCAAGCACAGAGGAGAGTTTGGATGTACTACAGTTGGTCAGCCCTTTAGATGAGATGTGAAAGCATAGGCCTCCTCCACCAGCCTCACCGAACTCGCTGTACGTCCCAAACAGACTATGAAAGGCAGCCAACATCCAGATCACCATCTCCTCTTCCACCAGACAGCTCCTCATGTCCGTCCCCAGGCTGTAAGTTGCTGTGGATAATAGCTGTGATGTTTATCCAGACCGTGGCTGCCCATCTGTGCTTGCACGGAGGGTCCGGTGCTTGATGGTCCCATTGGAGAGGTGACATCTGGCTACTTGGAGCTCGTGTACTTGGTGACAGCCTTGGTGCCCTCTGAGACGGCGTGCTTGGCCAGCTCTCCCGGGAGCAGCAGGCGCACGGCTGTCTGAATCTCCCGGGAGGTGATGGTGGAGCGCTTGTTGTAATGGGCCAGGCGGGAGGCTTCTCCAGCAATACGCTCAAAGATGTCATTGACAAAGGAGTTCATGATGCCCATGGCCTTGGAGGAGATGCCGGTGTCAGGGTGGACCTGCTTCAGCACCTTGTAGACGTAGATGGAGTAGCTCTCTTTCCTGCTCTTGTGCCGCTTCTTATCGCCCTTCTTCTGCGTCTTCGTCACAGCTTTCTTGGAGCCCTTTTTGGGGGCAGAGGTGGACTTTGCTGGCTCTGGCATCCTGACAGCTCTTTCTCTGGGTCTTGGACCTGCTTGGAAAGAACACACACAAAAAAAAATCAAAATCTTTTCTGTTCTTTTACAGCATAGTTTCACTGAAAGATGAGAGAGTCTGAGCTGGAGACAAGTGACATCTCTGAATCTGAGATAAACATCCCATGACCCTGTGCAAGCATTTTTGAACAGACAGTGAGAGCTGCTCTGGTTTGTATATGGTTTTTTGTTGTTTTCTGTTTAAATCCCCATAACACCAGCCTTATAAACATTATTGAACCCAGGACTAGTTGGCATCTACTTAGTAAATATAGGCTGGAGGGGGAACATATTTCTGAGAAGAACATTACATTTCCAAGGAAAACACTAACTGCAGCTTGGATTAAACTGAATCTTGCTGGAATGGGTTGGAGACTGTTGCAAGGTATCATTGAAGCCACCTTTATATAAGACTGGTCAAAATTATTTTATACTGTTATTATACTGTTATTACAATCTCCAGTAGACCCTTTTTTCTTTGCATGTTGGTAAAAGTTTATTTTAAGGGTGCTTGCATTTCTGTGGCTATTCTTTTACACCATGGATTCTAGTGGAATATAGAAACCATACAGTTTTAAGCTAGCCAGCTGAGCTACGGGAACCTCTCGGTATTCACATTAGCCAGCAAAAATACCAGAGAGTACAAAAGCTCAGAGGAGGTGGCAGGAATCACCTGGCAGAGAAACAGGAATGTGGCTAGCAGGAAAAAATCAAAGTGGTTTTGGGCTGTGTGTTGATGGAGAGAAGCTACATGGACTGAAATTATTTCCTGCTATTCAGTGCATTCTGCTTTTGAGAGAGCGAGCCTCCATGTGCCAGTGCACATCAAAGACACCTGATCCTCTCTCTGAGTTCTTCTTCATTAGGCTACAGCCTGCAGAGCCCTGACCTGCAGCTGACTGCTGTCATCCAGAAGTGCAGTGACAAAAAGACAGTATATAAACCTGTCATAAAACTGGGTGCCTCCCCTGCACTACAAATTTACATGTGTTTTACTACGTGGGTCAAGGGAATAACTGTGTTGTAACCTGGCAAATGGTTTTGTGTTTCAGAGGACACTTTGAGTGCTCCCTTGAAAGGCAAGGCTCCTCCAGGCTTTGCTGGAGGATCAGTACCACCCCAGGGCTTGGGCTTTTACTGCTCTGCGCCTCCTTTGAAGATGACCTAGGAATTACAGTCTGCTGGCCAAGAGAGACTAGAAGAGAAAAAAGAGCTTCAGGGCTGATAGCACATGGGAAAATGGACAGAAGTGAACAGGAGAGAGAAAGCTAGGATGTAACATATGGTCTGCACATGCAGAGCATCAGAGACAGACCTAAATGGTGCCTGTGCCAAAGCAATGGCTGCATGCTCAGCCCCGCCTCTCCTCCTTGGGAAGGAATGAGATGCTGCCCTCCATCTTGGCCTGCTTTCTCCACTGTTGCCCACATCTGCCAACAAAGCCAGACACAGCAGCTGTGTTGCAACCAAGTCTCTAAGGAGATCTCGGTTGCTCTCTATGGGAACAGATTTTGTTGATGCTGAGGCTGGATTCACGTGCCCATGTCTTGGTGGATAGAGGCACCAGAGTTATTTCATGTCTCCAGAAAAGGTCGCACCTACAGGACATCTCCGTCGATTTTACCAGTTAACAGCCTTGAGTAGCGTGGCCAGGATCTCACTCTTCTCCCACGTACAGCCACGATGAGGAAAGCAAAGCTGAAGTTCAGAGTTCAGCACAAAAGCTTTAGTGTCCTCGCTTCCCTCCACCCATTTCTTTGCAGTCTACTATTTAACAGGTAAATAACACCTTCTCTGGGAACAGGTTGCCTTCCTTCCACTTTGTTCGGGCAGTGCCTAGCACAAAGAGCCTGACTGCATTTGCCAGGTGCTAAATAAACAGAGTTAATAACGGTCGACAGTGTTAATAATGACCAGCCATTCTGTCAACAGTGCAACGTAATCCACAGGCAGGTGCAGCTCTGGTATGAAGACAGAAGTAGTGGGATTATTCCAAAAGTGGAGACTTACTGGAAGGAAAACTAGGTGACCTTTAAAAAAATGTTTTTGTTTTATGAAAATAGTTGCATGTCTTTCTTTTTCCTAAAAAAAAATTAAAAATAAAATAAAATAAAAATAGAAAACCTGAAGAGGTTAATAATTATTAGTTTTAGAGTTTGGAAGTGTTGCTGTCATGATTGGCTTCTCTACTGTGAAGGTGACCAAGCACTGGCACAGGTTGCTCAGAGAGGTTGCAGGGACTCCATCCTTGGAGATACTCAAAATCCAACCCTGAGCAACCCACAGTGGCTGACCCTACTCTGATCATGGGCTGGACTAGATGTTCTCGAGAGGCACCTCCAGCCTCAGCCAGTCTGTGACTCCTGGAGACTGCAGCTGGGTACCTCTTGCCTAGAACATGCTTTATGAGCTATGTTCCCCCCCAATGGACATTTCCCACAGGATACTGCAACCAGAGACTCCCACAAGAACCCCTAAGGAGGGGAGACGGTGCTCATCTCAGGTGCAAGCTACCAAGTTCCCTGGGCCACAGGGTATGGCCATGCAAGAGGGGGCACTTTGAAGCATGATGATGACATTTAGAAAGTTTCAGGTTTTTGAGGAAAATCTTTGGGCATATTTTTTTCTTCACAGCTTTGTGTGCTCCGAGTCAATCAGTTACCAGTGCTGGCATTTTTTTCCTTCCTCAGAAAACCAACACCAATACCAACCACAGTATTTTTTTTCTTGCCACTCCAAGCAGCAGCCTGCCTGCTCCCAGAAACCAGAGCGGTGTAGAGTGACAGATACATCTTCCTTTGTGTTGACACTCCTTTCTTCAGCATCATTAAAGGAAAATGAACTGAAAACATATTCCAAGATACAAATCACTGCAGTCTCTCAGATCCGAGATGGGAGAGGAGCCCTGCTGAGAAATCCCATGTGCAGTCTGATGCTGTCTCTGTTTTCCCCAGACCTGATATATTGATGGAGAGAGAGACAGGAAGGGAAGCTCCCACAGCATTTTTGTTCATTTTTGGCCTTGCTGCTGGGTCTGTAGAACCAGTGTCAAGTTGGTGTCAGTGGTGTGCACGGCTGGACTATTAGCTGTCCTTTTGGATCTCTCCTCATGCACGGGTGGAAACAGCATTTGGATTTTTTCCTTCTTTTTCCTTTTAAAAGCTGCCCTTGCTGTGATGAGCTCCGTGGCATTCACTGTAAATCCCCATTCCCACTGGGCTGCTCCTGTGCTGTAATCTCCTGATCAACCACAGAAGTTACATTTCTCGAATCAGCACTTTGTCCTTAAGAAGTTTTGGTGAAAAATCAAAAATTTGTAGAAAAAACTCAAGCTCTTCACTTTTGGACAAATGATATTCTGATATTTGCTAGTCTTCTGATGATCTGTTTTAATCCTTGCTGGAGTAAATGACAGACAACGAGCACTTACTGTTTATTCTGCCCCTTAAATAGGAATGCCCTGCTAGTTCTGGCCAATTATTGTCCTTCCCCTTAGTTTCTTTTGCCGTATCAAACAAAGAAAACTTGGCTTTAATCCTACACGTCAAGAAATGTAAAATGAAATTTGCTGCTGCTTTTTGTTTCACTCAAGGAAGGGCAACAAATTAGGGAATGTTTCCACTGAAAGGAAAAGGCTTTGCTAATGGCTTCATCTGCTCTGAAATGCTCGGAAAAGCACAGACAGCAGATCTGGTAAATACAGTTTACAAATTACCAGATGTCAGCAAATGACTGTTGTTGGAACAGTGTATTTCTGCAAACTGCAAATTCCCTCTCTTTTATAATGTACAGCCATCTACCTGGAAGTTATTAAACAAGAATTTGCTTATCCAACAGGTAACATGAAATAGTAATAGCTGAGAAAACAAGCAGATATTTAATGGTTATTTGGTAGCAAGTGCTGCTTAGTAAAGCAGATCAGAAGCGGGATGAGTCATTGTGAGACACCGGTGATGCTGCCTCATGTGCAAAAATTGATAGTCATATTCTGGACTGGACAGAATTTTTCTCTTGGTATGCTGTCTAGCATGTGAGGATGAGGTAATATTTGCTTTGAAGTAATGAGGAGGATAATTTCCTAGAATAAGGTAAACTAGTCTGAAATGCCTGATTTCTTCCAATGGTGGAGGGGTGCACAGATCAGGTTTGGCATCTCAGGTCTCCTCCCAGGTAATCCAGTATCAATAATGAGGCCCCATCCCCAACCCCAAATGCTCTGCTGCATTTTATATGATTGCTCCTGTAAAGTTATCATTTAAATGGCTAACATTTAATCTTGGATACACACATGCAGTTCTTCTAGTGAAAAGATTCATGCTCACATAATGGACCATGAAAATATGTTAAAACTGAAGACGCTCTCTCCTCCTTAACATAGAAAGAAATGCTACAATCTCACTCCCTGACACAGATACACTATGTTCAAAGTGATCTTCAGATTTCTTCAGAGGAAATACAAGCAGAACAGAGTACTGAGATACACTGGCATCCTACCTCTTTGATCCTTATCATCACTTGTGTTAACACATTGCCTGGGAGTTCAGCACAGGATACTCCCTACAGTAATCCCTTATTGTATCTTCTTTTCTTTTCTAGCATTTCCATTTATGGTTTTAGAAAAAACATTCTTAATCACCAGCAACAACTGTAATTTCTTGTGCTACTTTTGCCCAAGCTGCAAGTACTTCTCAGGGTTGTGGGGGTATCAATCAGAAATACTTACATACAAAGTTAAGGAGCAGGACCCTAGATCAGAGCTCTCTACAGATACATTGAATTTTTAAAGAAAATAAAATCTTATCCATAAGCTAAGCAGAGCAAGAAAGATACAGTGCTACAAGAAGAATGACTGTCAGGACGCTAAATACTGCTGTCCTTACTCTGATTAAAGGAGTGCCTGAAGTCAATGTGGGTTTAACCTGGGTCTGAAACCACAAATACCATGTTTAGAGATGCTTAGCACCAACAGCCAATATTGATTTCCACTGGAACTCAGCAAGCTCAGTACTTTATAAAAATCAGACTCCACATTTTATCAAGGTTTTGTTACTGTGAATAAATAACTGAGTACTTAAAAAAGCTTTACCATTACTTTTATCTGCTCTTTATAAGAGAACTCATTATCTACCTGCTCTGGAATATC